TGGATGTATCTGTTTTACACTCTTGATGTTTTAGAGTGTAACCCCTTCCTTGCTGTTCACTTTTTTACTGCATTGTAGCCGAATTATTGATTTTATTTTACATAGTTGCAGTGTTACGGTCACACCAGTTCATAGGTGTGTGTGTTTGTGTACAAGTATTTTTTTACGACCACTTAGCTTTTTCGAATCATGCCCTCAATTTTTTTTTGTGTTCACATACCAAGTGCCATAAAAGTCACCAAGTTTCGTACCATTTTGGTGAAGCTACGATTTTTAAAAATTCAAAATGTTAAAATCTCCGGTCAGAAATGACCGAAGACCGCACGAGAGGTGATTTTCTCAATATTTTGATTTTTTTGCACCCTCAGATTCCAGATTTTCAAATAGTTGTATCTCGTTGTATTTTTGGACACTTAAGACTGGTTTTGTGGTCCAGGGTCACATATATCACCAACCCCAGCATGATCAGCGCGTAACTGTGTGTTTGCGTGTGTTCAGTTTGAGAAGATGGATTGGGCCTCATGGACGTCAGTGCTGGGTCCCACCTGTGAGGGCATCTGGCCGACACTCAGCTTCGTCAACGCCTCTTCACTTACCAAAGACAAGAAGCTGCTGGCCACCGGAGACGACTTCGGCTTCGTCAAGCTCTTCAGCTTCCCCTGCAAGGTCTGACTGCAGCAAAACCACATCATACATTCACATACACTACTGTGCAAGCATTTTTCATGCTTCAGTCTCTTATGTTCTCCTTATGTATCAAAAATACTGTAAAAACAGTAATGTTGTGAAATATTATTACAATTCAAAATAGTCGTTTTCTGTGTGAATATATTGTAAAATTAATTTACTTCTGACATAAAGCTGAATTTCCAGCAGCATTGCTCCAGTCTTCAGTGTCACGTGATCCTTCAGGAATCATTCTGATATGCTGATTTGCTGCTTTTCTTCTTATCATCAATGTTGAAAACTGCTTCATATTTTTATACTTTTTTCTTGGATTTTTTGATGAATAGAAACTTCAAAAGAACAGCATTTCTTATTATAGTTTTATTATATTTTGTTTATCAATTATTATATTTCTTGATAAAAAATTATATATTTTTTCCTTTAAAAGTGACAAAACCTGTCCAATTAATACCAATTAATGCGTCCTTGCTGAATAAAAATTGTACAAGTCTTATATAAAACCAGAGGTTTATGCATTAAGTAGAATGTCCTTGATGCTTTTTTAAATTTCATACAGGGTCAGTTTGCCAAGTTTAAAAAGTACGTGGCTCACAGTGCCAATGTGACGAGCGTACGATGGTCCAATGACGACGCGATGTTGCTGTCAGTGGGCGGAGCTGACACCGCCCTCATGATCTGGGCGAGAGAGGGGATTGGTCCACGCGAGAGCAAAGCCGTGGACAGCGAGGAATCAGACGACGACGCTGAAGAGGATGGAGGTAATGTTTTTGTTTGTGATTACATTTAATTTAGAATTGAAATTTTTAATTTAGTTTAATTTTAATTGTAAATTTTAAATTGAATTAATTTGACATTTTTAATTACAATTTTTAATTTGCAGTTTTATTTAACTAACGGTTGTGTGTTTAGGGTACGACAGTGACGTCGCTCGGGAAAAGAACATGGATTACACGACGAAGATCTACGCTGTCAGTATAAGACAAATGACAGGCGTGAAACCGCACCAACTACAGAAGGAGATCCCAGTGGATGAGCGGTAATACAAAAAAACACAACGGAAAAATGCAGATGAAGTTCATCACTGCAACAGATATTTTTCCTCTTTAGTAGTTTTTTCTTCCTAGTTTAAAAACGTAAGATATTATTATGTTTATTATTATAAATATTATAAATGTCGTATGTTTATTATTATAAGATTTTACTAGTTTTCAAATTTTCATCAAAATGAAGGGTTCATGCTTTAAACAAGAAAAATATCTGCCAAATGCGATCAAAATAAACATATATAAATAAAAAAATTAAATAAGCAATGAAAAAATTTTTTTGTTTGTTTGCATTAAATAGATTTTTCTGACCTCACTGGCAGATATTTGTTCTTGTTTTAATCAAAAATTCACTTAATTTTGATATATTTATCAGAAAATAAGGCACAAGTTGCAAAACTTTATTTTATTCTTAGTATTCTTGTCTTGTTTTCCATTACAAATATTGAAAAATTGTATCAAGACGAAAACAAAAAACGACTTATATACAAAGTCTTGTTTCTGAAAAGATGTAGCAAAATGAAATTAGTTTATGCTAAAAAAAAAAAGAAAAAAGAAAAAAGAAAACATTTGTCAGTGAGGTCAGAAAAAGAATATTTTTTTCACTTTGAATTACAGTAAGTTGATTTTGCTGACCCCACTGTTAGACATTTGTTCTTGTTTTAAGCAAAAACTCACTTCATTTTGATACATTTATCAGAAAACAAGACTTGATATCTTAGGTCATTTTGCATCCCAAGTAAATATATCTTGATTTGAGAATGTTTAGATATGTGTAATAGAAAACAAGACAAAAATACTGAGAAATAAACTCTTTTTTTTTTTTTTAAATGTCATTATTGGTTTCCTGCAGGCCTCCAGTGAGTCGAGCCACGCCGTTACCTGACAAACTGGTGAAGAACAACGTCACAAAGAAGAAGAAAATCGTGGAGGTCAGTCGGTCTTGAGCTCATGAAGGTGCAGTCTTGTCTTCATTATTGTCAGTGTGTGTTGATGTCTGTGTGTGTCTGCAGGAACTGTCTCTGGATCACGTGTTTGGCTACAGGGGCTTTGACTGTCGAAACAACCTTCACTACCTCAATGATGGAGCAGACATCATCTTCCACACGGCCGCCGCTGCTGTTATTCAGAACCTCTCTGCTGGTACTGTCCTGAGTCAGCCTCACTGCTGACCTCTGACCTCTGGCTTAGTGTCTCAACATGTGGCAGATGTGCAGGAAAAACACTATTAGATGTTTTAAAGCCTTTGAAATAGTACAGTTTGACTTTATGCATGGGCTGAGTTTGTGGGCGTGTCTTCTGAGACTAATCTGATTCCAGATGCTGCTGACCTCTACAGGCTGCAGAGGGAACTGCACATCTGTTTAAAAGAAGAAGTGGGAAACCAGCTTTAGATACAACATATTTATTAAATGTGTACTTAATTATATTATACTCAAGTACAACTATATATATATTTTTTCTTTTCTGAAATTCAGCTAAAAATAACTACAGTATTTATTTGAAAATTATTATTAAAATGTGCACATTATTTTATTTTCAAATTAGTTTTTTTAACAGTAATTAATTAATAAAGTATGTGCTACAGTATTGGTTAAAGTTTACGTATATAGTTAGAATATACACTACCATTCAAAAGTTTAAAAAGTTAGAAATTTTCGTCGGTCATCCGACGTGACGTCGAGAGTGACCGACTGAAAGGGAACAGCTATTTTCAATTGTAATAATATTTCACATTATAACTGATTTTACTGTATTTTTAATCAAATAAATACAGCCATTGTGTGCAGAAGAGACTTCTTTTAAAAACATTAAAAAATCTTACTTTTACTGATCCAAAACTTGAAGCAGTGTATGAGATGAGTATATTTTCTGCTGTGTACTAAAATATTATTGCAGTGTGACAATTTTTTAAAAGTAGTCTTTCTATTAATATGAGCTCATAGGAACTGCATGCATGCTGTTTAACACTGGACTGGAGAATGAAAGTAGTTGTAGATGAAGGTGTTTGTGATTTGCAGGAACTCAGAGCTTTTATCTGGAGCATACGGATGACATCCTCTGTCTGACTGTCAATCAACATCCCAAATATCTCAACATCATCGCCACCGGTCAGATCGGTAAGTGTGGGCCTCTACACACATTTCCTAATGCAAACCCATGTCATTTTCACCATCGGAGTCATTTTCATTTGTGCACGTTGACTTTTGCGTTGCTTCTTTCAGCTGCACTGCTTGGTTTTGTGTTAATAACAAGCCTGCTTGTGATTTGTGCAAATAAGTTGAATCTCTCACGTAATTCTGCTTTGGCTTCTCTCATTTTTGTTCATCACTGCCTCATGCTCTCATCCAACACACCACCACACAGGCGACATCACCGATCTGCCAGGTAGGACAGCAGAACCTCCTGCCATCTGACTTCAGTTTGTCTCACTGACCTTTTGTGTTTGACTCCAGAAATTCAGGTCAGGTTTTTGGGCTCCAAAACAGAACTAAAGCATGCATTTTTTTTCTCCAAAGCAATGATTTGGGTTCAATACAAGTCAAGCACTCGAGTTCCATAGGTGTGAATTTAGATTCAGTATTCAGCTTGCAATGTTAACATGACATTTTGCGTTATTCTGTAACACTTTACCAGTTACATGCATGCATGGTAAACCAGTTAATATGGTAAGCACTATATGATGTGCACAGATTTATCCATTTAGAAGAATAAACTAAATAGGAATAACTTGCATAATAATATATGTAAATATAATATGAATGCAGTTACTGCAATAATGAAGTAAATAATCATCAAATAATAAATATATCATATATTTTAATATAACATAATAATATAAAATTAATAATAATAATAACAAACTAAAATAATGCAGTTTAAATAACCATCAAAGAATCTGGTTAGAATCCGACTTCTGGAGTAATGATGCTGAAAATTCAGCTTTGATCACAGGAATAAATTACATTTTACAATATATTCACATAGAAAACAGCTATTTTATATTGTAAAAAATATTTCACAATATTACTGCTTTATTTTTAATCAGAAGAGACTTCTTTTATGAACATTAAAACATTTTTGTTTTTTTCTAAACTTTTATGAATAACTTTAAAAGAATAAGAGTAAAACACTAAATTACATCTTTGCACATAATAATTAATATAAATACTTGAACAAAAATACAAACTTCAAACTTCACATTTCTGCTTTTAAACCATTAACTGAATTTATGTATTAATTTATTTATTCATTTTTGCTTGTATGAATTAATTCATGCATTTATCTATATTTAGTGCATTTAATTTTTCATTTACTTATCCAGCTATTTATGTTTTCATGCTTTTATTTATGTATTTTTCTATGCATTTAGAGCATTTATTGTTGCATTTAGTGTAAATTTGTTTGTTCAAAATGTCATTACGCCAGAACAATACATCTCTGTTTAAAAAACTTTTCAAAACTAAAGTTTAAATTCATTTATTTGGTTCTTACAGCTTACATCGTAATATGTATTGAACTCTGAATATTTCTTTAGTGAATCAATCTTTAATATCACGTTTGATGGAATAACATCCGTCTATGGTTCACGAGGGTCTGGAAGTTGGATGCCACAGATTTCAGATTAAGATCATATGCTCTATATCAAGCAATCCTCTCATTTCCCTCATGTTTTATGTCCCGGTTTCAGTAAAGACCACCGCTGTGAAGAATACATTCTCATGTTTGCATGAAGCATCATGCAGCAGATTGGCTTGATTTTCTGTCATCATCTTAGAGTCATGAGGCCTCGTTCCCTCTCTCAGCGCTAGAATACATATCTACTATTGACATGTTGAAAACCTTGAGGACTGTCCTTATGAACTCATAATAGCCATCCCAAACTCATCCTGCTGCTTTATTAACAGTGTTGGGGAAGTGACTAACTAAAAGTAGCGACACTATATTTTTCCTACATTACATTGTACAACTACATTGTTTTCAAATTAGAGTAGATTTTTTTCAAGCCATACTGGTGTGGTGTGGTGAACATTTAATTCAATGCTGCTTTGCAGCACAATGTTTTCAACTCATATATTGATGCATTTACGCAGTTACTTATTTGCATTTATTTATGCATTTTTCTATGCATGTAGTGCATTTATGAATTTATCTATACATTTACTGCATTTATTTTTGGATTTTTATATAGTTTTTTATATTCAGTTATTTATATGCATTATTAATGCATTTATGTGCTTATTTATTCATTTAAGCTTGCATGCATTTATCTTTGCATTTAGTGCATTTATTTTTTATTGCATATATTTATGAATTTATGCATTTATATACGCATTTTTCTATACGTTTAGTGCATTTATTTTTGCATTGATTTATAGTTATTTAAATGCAGTTTTATGCTTTTATTTATGTGTTTATGAATTTATTTATTCATTTATTTATGATTGTATGCATTTATTCATGCATTTGTCTGCATTTAGTGCATTTATTTTTTACATGTATTAATGCAGTTATTTATATGCGTCTATTTATGCATTTTTTCAGGCATTTACAGTATTTATGCATTTATCTATGCATTTAGTGCATTTATTTTTGTGTTTATTTTTATGCATTTATATATGCATTTAGTGCATTTATTTTTGTGTTTATTTTTTTGCATTTATCTATGCATTTAGTGCATTTATTTTTGTGTTTATTTTTATGCATTTATATATGCATTTAGTGCATTTATTTTTGTGTTTATTTTTTTATGCATTTAGTGCATTTATTTTTGTGTTTATTTTTATGCATTTAGTGCATTTGTTGCATTTTGTTGTGTAAATTTGTCTGTTTAAAAAATTCATTAAAAAATACAGCTCTGCTTAAGTAATAAGTTGTATAATCCCCCTTTAAATAACATAGTTAACTGCTTGTTTTTAGTAGCTTGTAGTTGTTACTACTTTTTCTAAATGCATCTTTACTGCAGTGCAACTACTGTAATCCAGTTTCATAGTAGCTTCCCAACACTGTTTATTAATATAAATAACCCACAACATTTGCATAATTAATGTCTTCTAATACACCTAATATGGATTTTATGTGTCTTGTGCTGAACGGAGCAGATGTGGATCTGTCCTTCAGCTGTGAGTACTGGCGGTCGTAATGTGATGTCGGTCTGTGTCTGTGTGTGTCTGTAGGCCTGGCGCCGTCTATTCACGTGTGGGACGCCATGAACAAACAGACGCTGTCAGTGCTGCGCTGCTCTCACGCTAAAGGGATCGGATACGTCAACTTCAGCGCCACGGGAAAACTGCTGTTGTCTGTGGGAGTGGATCCGGAGCACACCATCACTGTGTGGAGATGGCAGGAAGGTGTGTCAAAACCAGTGGTTTTAACTAAATATATACTTAAAATAGCCCTGCATCTGAAAAAAAAGGCCTAACATTAGCTAATTTGATGATGATCAAAAATATCATTAAAACTTTCCATCACGTGCAGTTTGTTCACAAAATAAGGATTATTTTTTTCAAAATATATATGTATGTATCAGCTTTAATGCACTTTACATACAAACTTTACATAAACACAAGTTTATTAAAAAATATATATAAAAAAGGAAGCTGCAATGACAATTTTTTTCTTGCAACTGTGAGCTTATATCTCGCAATTCTGACTTTTTTCTCTAATTTTGATTTCTGAATTTTTAAATTCTGATTTTACATTTCAGAATTTTGACCTTTTTTCTCTGAATTTTGAGTTTGCATCTCACATTTCTGTTTTATCTTTCTGCACTGGAAAACAAAAAGTTCTGCACTGCATTTCTGACTAAAACCATACAAAAAACATCTTTGTTACTAGAAATAAAAAGTTAACTAAAATAAAATAAAATATAAATAAAAAAAAAACATTTAATTTCAGGTAGTTTCCAAGGCAACATTTCTCATTTTCAGTTGCTTTAACTTAGTTAGGCCACTAAAATAACTAAAACTAAAACTGAAATGAATAAAAACCTATGTAGATGTATTTAAAAATAATAATAAAAATGATGAAAACATGCAACAAAATTACTAAAACTTTAAAAGTACAGTGAAAAAGTTAAATACATAGATAAAAAATTCTAAATATTGATAAACATTATAATGGTATCTTAATGATACTAAAATAACACTGGTAATGACAATAATTTTTTAATAAAGAAAATAATGTTAAAAATTGCAATTGTGAGTTAACATCTTGCAATTCAGTCTTTTTCTCTCAAAAAAGTTATAAACTCATTGTGAGTTTCTGACTTTTTTCTTAGAATTTTTTTTTTTTTTTTTAACTGCAATTACCTTTTTTACGTTTTGGTTGGATATGGTTTTTAAAAAACATTTTCTACAAAAAAAATATATTAAATGGCAATTAAATTGACCTTTTTTATTTTTTTATTCCATGGTGGAAATAAGCTTCCATAGTCAAAAGAAAAAAATGCTATGAAATGCACATCTTATTTTGTGAGAGACTGATGTGTTTGAGCAAAGCAGACACTATTTCTGGAATCAGTAAGAAACAGGTATTGGACTTTGTTCAGCATATTCAGATGCTGTTGTGAATGCTTTCATCATGTGATCTCAGGCTCTAGGGTTTGCAGTAAAGGCGGTCACAGCGACCGGATCTTCGTGGTGGAGTTCAGGCCGGACTCGGACACTCAGTTTGTGTCGGTGGGAATCAAACACATCAAGTTCTGGACGCTGGTGGGAGGCTCTCTGCTTTATAAGAAAGGAGTGATCGGAGCGGTGGAGGACGGACGCATGCAGACCATGCTCTCTGTAGCGTTTGGAGCCGTGAGTCTTTCTCATCTGTGATTAGTTTTATCTAGAATGGATTTGCAGTGCACCGATTACAGGAACCGCTCCCATGGTGCAGTCTGGGGTAAATTGTGTTGCTCAAAGCACAATAGTGACAGATTAGGTGCGTAGAATTCTTTTTTCTTTAGTAAAGAATTATTGTAGATACTATATTATTGTAGTTTGATTGAGATACCATTACAGTTTTTATTGCATATTTTCAATAAATTTTTCTTTCAATTTTCTGTTTTCATTTGAAATCAATTCTATTTAAATTTGTATTAAAGTTTAGTCTTTTTGTTGTGTGTTGTTGCCGTTTTTATTATTTTTCTTTTTTTATGTCTGTAGAGTTTCTATGAATTTCAACTAATTGTTACATTATTTGAATATGAGAAATGTTGCCTTGACAACTAGCTGAAATTAAGTTGTTTTTTATTATTTTATTTCAGTTAATGTTTATTGTATTTCAAGTAGCAAAGATGGATTTTTACGGTTGTAATTTTAGTTTACTCTTATAAGTACGGGTACATATTCAGGTAGTTACACAGCATAAATTTACAGAATAATATGTAAAATAATAAAAAATGTACATATTAGAAAAATACTGTTTCAAATGTTTCTTGTGACAAAAAACTAATATGATATATAATCATATATTTCATCTGTAGTAATATATATCATTTCATAAATGTGTATTTATATATACATAATAAACATACGCAATACACGCACATATATTATGTAAACAAAAACTTTTATTTTGGATGCGATTGTTTGACAGCACTAGTGTATATATATATATATATATACACATACACACAGTACACACACATATTACAAAATATATATATATATATATATTGTAATATGTGTGTGTACTGTGTGCGTGTGTACTGTGTGTGTGTATGTATATATATATACATATATAGAAACATTTAACTAAATTGAGCTTTATAAAGAGACTATTATCTTTTATACAGCACAAATTGAGTTTGTTTCATAATTAATACATTTCACTAAATTAACACTGTTATTTTCCTGTTTTATAAATGTGCAGCTGCTTTGAAACAATCTGTATTATGTAAAGCACTATATATAAATAAGTATAAGACTACTGTATGTTAAATCTCATACCTGTCTGTGCATATGAAATGTTTTCTCATGTGTTTTGTCTGGCAGAATAACCTGACGTTCACGGGGGCCATAAACGGTGACGTGTACGTGTGGCGAGAGCATTTCCTGGTGCGTGTGGTGGCTAAAGCTCATACAGGACCAGTGTTCACCATGTACACCACGCTCCGAGACGGACTCATCGTGACCGGAGGCAAAGAGAGACCGTGAGTCCATCTACAACACACACTCATGCTGACATGTCAGTTTCATATGGTTTTTAAAAATCATTTTCAGCTAAATTGTTTTGACCATAAAGACAAAAATTCTTACACCTTGAGTAAAAGTTCAAAAGTTTGGAGTCTGTAAGATTTTTTAATGTTTTTGAAAGATGTCTCTTCTGCTCACCATGGCTGCATTTATTAGATTATAAATACAGTAAAAAAATTGAAATATTATTACTATTTATAATAGATGTTTTCTATATGAATATCTTTTAAACTGTAATTTATTCTTGTGATGCGCAGCTGAATTTTCAGCATCATTACTCCAGTCTTCAGTGTCACATGATCTTCATAAATCATTCTCATATGTTGATTTGCTGCTCAAGAAACATTTATTTTTATCATGTGTTGAATTTTTGTAGGAACCATGATTTTTATTTTAATTTAATATTTTGTGGGAACCATGATTTTTATTTTTAAGTTAATTTAATTTATATTTAATGTTAATGTTAATGTATTTTTAAGGAGTCTTTGATGAATAGAAACTCCAAAAGAACAGCATTTATTTGAAATATAAATATTTTGTAACAATATGAATGTCTTAAATGCCACTTTTGATCAATTTAATGCATTTTATAAATAAAAGTATTAATTTCTTAAAAAACATGCCCTAAACTTTTGAGCATAGTGTACAGTAAGTGTACAAAATGTATATATTTTAAGGGAATCTTTTTATTAAAACATGAGCATAATGTCATTGCTTCATTATGTATGTGCAGGACTAAAGAGGGCGGCGCTGTGAAACTGTGGGATCAGGAAATGAAGAGATGCAGAGCATTTCAGCTGGAGACAGGGCTTCCTGTCGAGACGGTCAGATCTGTGTGCAGAGGAAAGGTCAGTCATGCTTCATAAGCACCCATTTCAAGTGTAAGTTTAGTAGAAAGACAGTAGTAAGATGTTTGATTATTGGATGGCAGGGAAAGATCTTGGTGGGAACGAAGGATGGCGAGATCATCGAGGTTGGAGAGAAGAACGCCGCCTCCAACACCATGATAAACGGACACACACAGGGGCGCATCTGGGGTCTGGCCACACACCCCTCCAAAGACGTCTTCATTTCCGCCAGCGATGATGGAACCATCCGCATCTGGGACCTGGCTGATAAGGTGAGGGATTGTGGGTAGTGGAGTGAGAAGAGGGGATTTTACACTACCGCTCAAGAGTTTAGGGTCAATAAGACGATACAATTAGTATTTTTATTCAGCAAGGAAATGTTTAAAAGTGACAGTAAAGACATTTGTGATGTTGCAAAAGAGTTCTATTTTAAATAAATGCTGCTCTTTCGAACTTTTTGTTCATCAAAGAATCCTGAAACATAAAATATATCACAGTTTCCACAAAAATGTGAATCAGCCCAACTGTTTTCAACATTGATAATAATCAGAAATGTTTCTTGAGCAGCAAATTAGCATATTAGAATCTCACGTTCAGCAGCGGCAGCTCTTAAAGTCATAGCAGCCAAATAACCTGATATCCCAGCTGCTGCGATGTCTGTTCATCATAGAACAAGAGAAAAACCGGAGGAAATCAATAACTTTGTAGCTTTAAGGATTCATCTATATTTGAATTAGAATTTAGTGTTTGATCACTTTATTCAATTTCTGTATATTTCCTACTTGCTGAAGGGCACAGGCAGCTAAATATGACATTTATTATAATGGGTTTATGTGAAGATTGTTTTAAGTTCACTTAAATTAGAAGTTTTTTTTTTGTTTAAGTCTAATAAATGTTAAAATTGATAGCTCTCAATTATACTGTAATGTTGAATGGCTAGTCAATTCTTAAATATTAGGGGGGAAAAAAATCTATTTCATAGAGACATCAGTGATACTCGCCTTCAGTCATAAAACAATGCCACTAAACAAATATTTAAAAATATACTGTCTTTATGTTGTTTCTACATTAATTTAAAAATTGAATGTGAAATTATTGCAATATAAAAGTATATATAAAAACTTTAGTTTAATGTTAGGTGGGATTATTCGTGATTCATTTCAGAAAAAAATTGTGTGATTAGCACTTAAATTAGAAGTTTTTGTTTTGTTTAAGTCTAATAAATGTTAAAATTGATAGCTCTCAATTATACTGTAATGTTGAATGGCTAGTCAATGGTTAAATATTAGGAAAAAAAGAACAATTTCCTAGAGACATCAGTAATATTGGTATCAGTGATACTCGCCTTCAGTCATAAAAAAAATGCAATTAAACAAATATTAAAAATATACTATCTTTATGTTGTCTCTACATTAATTTGAAGATTGAATGTTAAATTATTGCAATATAAAAGTATATTTAATAACTTCGATGGGATTAATCATGATTAATTTCAGAAAAAATGTGCGATTAATTAGTTCCTTTTTTTAATCGATTGACAGCACTATTAAAAATATTATAGAAGTCAACTGTTATGAAAAATGCACTAAAATACCAATTTCAAATTGTATATGAAATATATATTTCCCATTTGTTTCCCATTCGTCATTTCGACGTTTTTTTCAGGACCATTTTACTTTTTCAAAGCATGATTGATTGATTGGTTGATTGATTGATTTATTTATTTATTGATTAATTTATTTTTTGTGTGTTTTCACATAGCAAGTGCCAAAATCTTCACTAAGTTTTGTAACATTCTGAAGTAAAAAATACTCCAAAACTGAAACGTAAAATTTTCCGATTAAAAATGACCGAAGAGCACCAGAGGGTTGATCATTGTTTGTCTTCCAGAAACTCCTGAACAAAGTCAGTCTGGGTCATCCGGCGAAGTGCACGGCGTACAGTCAGAACGGTGAGATGGTGTCCATCGGGATGGAGAACGGAGAGTTCATCGTGCTGCTGGTGAATTCACTGACCGTATGGGGCAAGAAGAGAGACCGCAGCGTGGCCATCCAGGACATTCGGTCAGAAGAGACACTGCATGACAAATACACAACAAAACACATGATCATGAAAGCATACGTTCTCAAGCCGTGTTTCTCACGCAGGTTCAGCTCTGATAACCGGCTGTTGGCCGTCGGCTCGGTGGAGTGCGCTGTCGATTTCTATGATCTGACTCTGGGGCCGTCTCTCAACCGGATCGGCTACTGCAAAGATATTCCTGGATTTGTGATCCAGCTGGACTTCTCTGCCGACAGCAAATACATTGAGGTACAAATCATTCAGAAAACATATTGAGGACTATATAAACAGAAATAGATCATTTTGATAACATACACAGCAGAGACATAATGTGACAAAATATTTCTTAATGCACACAAATTAAGTTTTTGTGCATGCACATTTTGCACAAATAAAGGGTGTTGCATGGAGTTTGAGTCAACCAAAATATTTAATGTTTAAAAACATCGGCTTAAAAGTTATTAGCTAAAACGCATGTGAAAATTAAACCGTTTTGTGCACTGGAGATTTTTTTAGTTTCCTGTACAGTTCAATAGAACAATTAAAAACGAACATATACTTGGCATTTAGTCCCTTAAATAAAACAGTAAACTAACAGCATTAATGTGCCAAAAAAAATAAATAATCAAATATATTTTTAAATATCAAAATACATTCATGTAGACATATTTACCACCATTGTTTTTGGCCACCTTTTCTATGTTTTTGAACAAATATTTTAAAAAATATATTTTTTAAATAATTACAAAATATATATTTTGCCCTTCTTATATTTAAATATGAAAAAATTTATTCACGTCACATTTGAAGAAAAACTTCATTTGTTGAACTTTGTCTCTGTCTTATTTGTAGCCAAATATTTTTTTAAACATTCCCGTTTCTCTACTATAAACTCTTTAATTTCACATTTTAAATGGCGGATAGAAAATCTAGTTTGATCTCTATTAGGCTATTCCATTCACATGGGGAAGTCGTGGCCTAATGGTTAGAGAGTCGGACTCGTAACCCAACGGTTGCGGGTTCGAGTCTCGTACCGGCAGGGATTGTAGGTGGGGGGAGTGAATGTACAGCGCTCTCTCCCACCTTCAATACCACGACTGAGGTGCCCTTGAGCAAGGCACCGAACCCCCAATTGCTCCCCGGGTGCCGCAGCATAAATGGCTGCCCACTGCTCCGGGTGTGTGTTCACGGTGTGTGTGTGTTCACTGCTGTGTGTGTGCGCACTAAGGATGGGTTAAATGCAGAGCACTAATTCCTAGTATGGGTAACCATACTTGGCCACATGTCACGTCACATTTGCATTTAGCTTAAATGTAGGAGCCCCTGAAATACATTTTGAAATATATTTTGGTATATGAAGGTTGAAACTAAATATAATTTTAATGTAGTCTGTGTAAGTAACACTGATATGATTTAAACTTTGTGTGCAGGTCTCTACCGGTTCATATAAGCGTCAGGTTCATGAGGTTCCCAGCGGGAAGATCGTCACAGAACAAGCCCTGATTGACCGGATCACATGGGCGACCTGGACCAGGTGAGGACACAGATCTGTGCAGTAAACGGTCTTCAGAAGTGACGTCAGTGTCCTGTAGTAAAGCTCTTCCTCCTGTACAGTGTTCTGGGTGACGAGGTTCTGGGCATCTGGCCGCGTAACGCAGAGAAGGCAGACGTGAACTGCGCCTGTGTTTCTCACGCCGGGCTCAACGTGGCCACCGGAGATGATTTTGGACTCGTGAAGCTCTTCGACTTCCCCTGCTCCGAGAAATTTGTGAGTCAACCGTGACTCAAGTCAAATTTATTTCTATAGTGTTTTTCACATTACCCATTTTTTTCATCTTCATGCTTTGTAGTCACATTTAGCCTAGTTGACTGATAATATAGTTACATTTCAAACAAAATAAAAAAAAATCAGGCAGTAGAGATTAACTATATACGTAATGTAAATCACTTTGCATGAGTATTCTGTATGTATGCAGATAAACTTGGATATAACATATATCCAAACTCATGTGAACACTTGAAATATGAAATTACGGTTACATTTTACGTAAGGTTTATTTAGTTAATGCAATAATATGAACTAACAACTAAGCATTTATTAGTCTTTGTTAATTTATATATATATATATATATATATATATACACACAAAATTAACCCTTAGTAACCCTTATTATTAACAATATTAACCAATTATGATTAGCCATATTAACTCTTTATTATTAATCCTTATTATTAACATTAACTCTTACCTTATTAATATAAAACCATATTAACATTTTATTTTTAACCCTTATTATTAACCATATAAACCTTTATTATTAACCATATTAATCCTTTATTTTTGAACCTTATTATTAATCATATTAGCTTTAATATTAAATCTTATTATTATCAACCATAATAACCCTTTATTATTAACCCTTATTATTATTAACCATATTAACCCTTTTATTATTAAACCTTATTATTAACATATTACCCCTTTATTATTAGCCATTATTATTCTTAACCATATTGATCATTTATTATGGACCCTTATTATAATTAACCATATTAACCCTTTACTATCAAACCTTAGTATTATTAACCACATTAACCCTTTACTATTAACCCTTATTATTATAAAAAAACTTGCCCCTTTTAGACTTTCACTCTATTTATTTACAAACTGCTTGTTTTCTTAAAAAACAAAACAACACTAACACTAGCTTCTCTAATCTTTTTGTATTCTATATATTTGTTTTCTTTTTATTTATTATACAATTAACAAAAGCAAAAAAGGCCTCTAACACTAGCTTGCTCTATTCTTTTTCTTTTCTATCGGTTTTCTTTTTATTTATTATATAATAAATAAAAAAAACCTTGCTACGTGTACTGTGTTAAGCTAACTGAGACTTGTTATAGCACTTGCGTATCATTGCTCTTTTGTTGATTTGATTGCTTCCATTGTCCTCATTTGTAAGTCGCTTTGGATAAAAGCGTCTACTAAATGTAAATGTAATTAGCCATATTAACCCTTTATTATGAAACCTTAGTATTATTAACCATAGTAACCCTTAATTATTAAACCTTATTACTGTCCATGTTAACCCTTTATTATTAAACCTTATTATTAACCATATAAACCTATTATCAAACCTTAGTATTATTAACTATATTAATCCTTTATTTTAAACCTTATTATTAATAAGATTTCATATTTAAGAGCTAATCTTATCAACCATAATAACCCTTAATTATTAACCATGTTAATCTTTAATTATTAACACTTATAATTAACCTTTATTTTTAACTATATTAACCATTAATTATATCACCCTCATTAATAACTTTAATTAACCACATTAACCCTTTATTGTCGAACCTTAGTATTATTAACCATATTAACCCCTTATTATTAACCATGTTAATCTTTTATTAACACTTATAATTAACCTTTTTTAACCATATTAACCCTTTATTAACCCCTATTCGTATTATCCACATTAATCCTTTATTATTAACCCTTATTATAATTAACCATATTAACCCTTATTTTAGCCTTTATTGTTAACCATATTAACCCTTCATTAATAAACTTTATTATAATTATCCATATTAACCCCTTATTAACAATGCTAATCTTTTATTAACACTTATAATTAACCTTTTTAACCATATTAACCCTTTAATAATCCTGCCGGAGATACCTCCAGCGTCCGGATGCTGCACTTCTGTTATGCTGCGTTTTACCCCTCTAGACCAGATGGATCCTGGACGAGCCGGAGTTCGAAGAGGGTTTTTTAACCATTCTGTGAAGTGCAATGTTTACGTTTACATGTACTTTTACAAAGAAAAAAAGATACACTCATAAATCATGCCACTATTCGTTCGGATTCTGAAGTGCCTTGGAGACACAGTTTGCTGATCTTTGCCCCGAAATGTTCATATGATGCATATATGGTGCTAAATGTCCACTTAGAGCTTTTTGAAATTCTTTTTAAAATCATGCATTATGCAATTTCTTTTCTTCTTTATCTTCTTTTTACATTTTGTACATAAATGTCAACTCACTAAATATGCTCTTCCTGTTGGAACATGGGACTCAGGAGAAATTAAGTACTGTAATGTGTAGACGTTATATTTGACCTGTGCTATTTTTGTTAAAATATAAATTTTTTATGTACGTACTTGCGTATGACGTATGCAAATTAGTCGGTCGGTCGGTCTGTGGGCGTATATGGAAATTGAAAATGCAAAAAACTCGCTGTCCAAATATTACAGTTATATGAAATGTACGTAGTAGCGTTGTCTGTTGCGACGTGTGTAGATTGCGATGCGCTGTTTGTAGCCAATGACGTGACAGCAGCTGTTTATCGTGCGCAGATATCGCGTTATATCTGTCATTTGTATGTTCATGTTTTTGTAATTTGTCTGATCAGAGGTCAGTCTAATTGAAAGCTATATAATAATGCATGAATCGAAGTCTGTGTGGTTGTTGATCATGAATGAATACAGTTGTTTTATAATTAAAGAGAACTATGTGCTCACTTGTGAAACTCAGTGTGTCCGTCTTTCACCAGATGATGGCAGTGTGTGTATAAACTGTGTTTCTCAAAACACAATATTTGTAACCCTATTCAATGAGACGCACAAGATAAGCTGTGGAAATTATTATTGGATACAGTAATAACAAGTAACATAAGGTGAATTAGTTTCACTAATAAATATCACCATTTTCCTCAGTTGATTAATCAGTATATTAAGACTATTGTTTTGTATTATGAAATAGTCATTACATACACACATTATATATACATATATATATATATATGTACACACTACCGTTCAAAAGTTTGGGATCAGTAAGATTTTTAATATTTTTACTATTAACGAAGTTTCTTGTGCTCATCAAGGCTGTATTTATTTGATCAAAAACTTAGAACTTATTTTGTGAAATATTATTGCAATTTAAAATAACAGTTTATACTTTAAAAAGTAATTTATTTCTGTGATTCAAAGCTGTATTTTCAGCATCATTACTCCAGTCTTCAGTGTCACATGATCTTCAGAAATCATTATAATATGCTGATTTATTATCAGTGTTGGAAACAGTTGTGCTGCTTCATGTTTTTTGGAACCTGTGATACTTTTTTTCAGGATTCTTTTATGAATATAACATTTAAAAAAACATTTATTCAAAATGGAAATCTTGTGTTACAATATACAGTACACTACTGTTCAAAAGTTTGGAGTCAGTAAATTTTTTTCTTTCTTTTTTTGAAAGTAATGAATACTTTTATTCAGTTAAATGGGAAAAAAAGTGATAGTAAAGACTCATATTGAAAAGAAAAGATTTTAATTTTAAATAAATGCTGTTCTTTCTAACTTTTTATTCATAAAAGAATCAAAAAAAAAGTATCAGTTTCCCCCCCAAAAAAAAAAAAAACATAAATCAGCATATTAGAATGATTTCTGAAGGATCATGTGACACTGAAGACT